AAAATTATTTAGATTCACTTGATAGTAAGGGTATGCTATGTGGTTTTTTTTTTTAATTTTTAATTTTTTCTCATTTTTTAATTTTTAATTTTTATGTATTTAATAAATAATTTTTTTAGCTATTTGATATCAAATGTATGTTACTTACATGTGAGCAATAAATTTTTTTTTCATTTTTACCTTTTAATCTTTTTTCTGTTTATAATTTTTTTTCTTTTCTTATTTAATAAATATTTTGAATTTTTTAAAAATTTTGTTAATGTTTGGCCTATTTGATATTATTTTTAAATATATATTTTTAAACACTCTTTTTTTTTTTAATTTGATAATTTTTCAAAATTTATATTAACAGAAATGTCAACGTTACATTCAAATTTGATTTTTTTTGTCATTTCTTTTTTAGTTTTTTTTTTTTCAAATTCATAATATAAATTATTTAAAAAAAACCATTATTGATGTTATATGCCAACTCAACTTTTTTCTTTTGCTTTTTTTTTTTTTTGTTTTATGTTTATTTCTTTCTTTTTTTTTTCTTTTTTTTATATTTAATAAATATTTTAAACAATTTTACTTTTATTATAGGCAGGGTAAATTTTATATTGTAGATTAAAAATATCTTTTTACATCTTTTTATAATTAGGTAATTTTATTTAAAAAAAGATATTAATGGATGTGTCAACATGGCATCTAAATTTATTTTTAAAATTTTGTAGTATAAGAAAAGTTATTTTTTAATCAATAATATCAAATTAGCTCTTAAAAAATTAAAATATAAGCAAAAAAATTAAATATAAAAGGAAAAAAAGGAAAAAAGTAAATTAAAATAAAAAATATAAATTTATAATATAAATTTTGTAAGAAAAGCTTATTGTTGTTGATGTCGTGAGGCAACTCAACTTTCTTCTTTTTTTTTTCATTTTGTTATATTTTTTAAAAAAATTTCTTCCTTTAATTCTCTTGCTTTTTAATTAAATAATTAAAAAAATTAATGTATATGTATACATGATATCCTATTTTGCTTTTTTGCCTTTTTTAGTTTTTTTATCTTTTAATTAGATAATTAATAACAAATGCAATCAATAAATTAAATTTTTAAGAAAAATATTAATAGAGGTATTAATAATAAAATAACTTGTATTTGATGGATTCTAATTTGTTTAAATCTAATGTGTGTTTTATTTGGGACAAATTGAGATTTTTTACAAAAATTAAGCTCAAGCCAAGTGCTATACAGTGTTTGGTCTTGTTTTCACTATATATATTAAATTATATTTTAAATTATTTATTTAATTTTATATATATACATATGTAATATATTAATAAAGTTCTTATTGAATATCTTAATTTAATAGAAATATTATATTTATGCATAATTAAGATGTAATTCATCTATCCATTTTATAAATTTGATTCATTTTAAATTTTGCTTGATCTTATTTGAGGTCTCAATGCATTATCTTATATTTCTTTCATTTTTTTTACTTTTTTCGCTTTTTTTCTTCAAACCTTTTTTAGGTTTTTTTTGTTTTTATTCAGATAATATTTATGGAAAAAACAATATAGGTATCCATGTGACACTCCAATTTATTATTTTTTTTCTTTTTGATTTTTTAATTAAATAAATTTTGCAATAAAGGATCCAATTAATAGTAATGACAAAACAATTTATATTTGATGGGTGCTTATGTAATATCCTAATGAGCTTTCTTTTACTTTTTTTTTCCTTTTTAATTATTTTCTTTCACTTTTTTTTTCATTTTTTTCCTTTTCCATTTAATTCTTTTTAATAAAAATAATTTTGTAAAAAAAAAGATGGATGCATCACATGGTACCCATTTGAGTTTTTTTAGCTTTCATTTTTTGTATTTTTTAATTATATAAAATTTGCAATCAAGGGTGCTAATTGATAAGGATGCTAAAATAATTTATATCCCGTGGGTTTCAATACATCTTAATTCGATAAGAGTTTACCTTTTTAAATTGAGATTGAATTGAGATGGATTGAGTCTTTTTAAAAAAGATAAAATCTTGTAAAAGATGTATTTATGGTACTTTATCTTGACCCATTTCGAGGTGCATATAAAAATATATATTTTATTGTTTATTTAATTTTATACAAATAGATATGTTTGATACACAAGATTATGATAGAAAAGAATAAGATGATATTATGAATAGGATTATATTAAATAATATTATCCTATCTTATGTTTGATGTGTGCAATGATTAAAATGAAATAATTTATTTATTGGTCAAAATTATATTTTCTCAAAGTTAATACAATTTAAATTATTGATAAAATTTTTAAAGGTATAATAAGACATTTAACTTTGATTCCATAGATTACAATCAATCATCTCTACTTTAGGAGGATTAAAATCATCCTATACCAAGAGGATTAATTTTTTTTATAATCTTATCTCTTTCTTTATATATATATATATAAATCAAACGTAATATATAATAATTAGCATTGTATTTTATTCATTATTCTATAACCAAATATGACCTATATGTATTATATTAATAGAGTGATTTTTTTACCTTAATTTAAAAAATTTATATTTTAAGCTTAATATGAGATGTCAATGTAGCATTCTTTGTTAGCTCTTTTTTTATTATTTTTTACTCATTTTTAGGTTTTTTTTTTTCTATTTTTTACTCTTTTCTCACTTTTTATGCCTTTTTTTTTTTGTTTTGATTTTTGTTTAGATTAATTTTGTGAGAAAAGATGGCCAGTTAAGATATCCACATTTTATTCCCATTTGTTTTTTCTTTCTTTTTATTTTTTTAATTTGATAAATTTTTGCAAAAAAAAAAAAAGGTAAATAGATATGGCAAAATAAAATATTTTTAACTCGTGGTTAAACTAAATAATTCAAAATACAATATGAAAATGATACAAAAAAAGATATAAAAATGACATAAGCTAAAATTTTAACAAAAAGCATATACAGGTTTAACAGAAACGAAAAAATGTATTACGTGTTTTTCATATTCACATGAATTATGATATATAATTTTATTATAAAACATAATATAATATACGAATTCTTACTATTTTAGATAAAATAAATATACAAATTATCAAGTTTACCTACAACAATGCCCAAGTACCTATCTAATATTACAACAATTCTTACTCATTAGTTAAAAAAAATTTTCAGCCTTTTCTGTTTTCATCATCTCTACTAGTACTAAACACAAATTAATGATATTTAAATATATAAAGAGAAGGATGAGTGCTATTCTCGAGTTGATTAATAACATTATTACATATGTTATTAATGGAAGCATATACCAACTATGCTGACTACTTCCAAGTTAGATATTTCACTCATACTATATTTGCAAATCACAAGGACAATGGAAGAAAAGGAGAGGAATTAGGTAACGTAAGAAGTGAGGAAGGATAGGGTAAGGACCCCTTATTTATTTGGATACCTTAAGAAATTAAACAAAGAGGGGAAAAAAATCAAAATTCATCAAACGCATTGCAAGTGAAGATTCATATTGCGAGATTTTTTTTTTTTTGGTTGAACACCGATACTTAATTTGTGGGGGCAAATAAAGCCCTAAACCACACATTAAAGCCATGTCCTCTAGTATATATTGATAAATTTTTCTTAATTTTGTTCCGGGGTGATGTTAAGATCAAGCTGGAATAACAATGAAAACAATTTAATAATACAGAGGAAAGCCTCAATCCTATATATATATATACACTAAACAGTAAAATAGCAACATGATTCTAAAAGCTTTCAATCAAATATATGATTAGATTTCAGGGACGAAGCCTAAGGAAATCTTCGTTGTTTTTTTCATTTCTTGGGCGCAGATGAACAACAAATTAAAGCAACCTACTAAGCAAGTTAGTTCATCAAACACCAATTGAAAAGAAATAGGAGAATAGATTAAACGTAGTCAATTTTTATGGCCATTCAGCGTCAGAGAAGACTATAGCTTAGCTTGCCCGGTTCTAGGTATACTGGTAGCAAGTTCCATTTCTCCCAAGATTCTAGTGAATTGTTGATGTCAAAGTTGACATGTCGGAGACTAGAGGCCATGAATTTTTGCCTTATTAGTCGAGACCATTTAAACTTTGCTTCACAAGAATCTAGGCCTAGTGTAGAATTAGGTGAAAAAAATTTGAGTTCGAAAAAATGTGTTTAAAATATAGTGAGAAAAATGTAATTTAAGAATTTTAAATGTGTATTATTAATGTGTAAAAATGCTGTGGTGAATTAAAATATTTAAAAATATACATAAAATAATAAAAGTTCAAAGATACAAATGTAATAAAAATTTATTTTTCCTATAGAAATTGGAATTATTTTACCCATAAAAATTGGAATTGGTTGCAAAAGCATCTCCTTTTTGTGGTTTGAATTTGCAAAATAAGTTTTTAAATAAAAAAGTCACAATTTTTTTAAGCATTAAGATTGGGTTAAAAACCACTTTTAAATCCAAAAATCACGTTCAACCTCAATGCTAAACCAACCAACTATAGTATAATGTTGAAAGTGACTTCTTCAACTCAACATCAATGTTGAAAACAAAAGGACAAGACTCTTCTCTTTAAAAGCTTAGCTTACAAATCCAAATCATAAAAATCTTAAAAAAAATGCTTTTGCGATCAACCTTAATTTTAATGAATAAAATAATTTTATTATTTTCATATCTCTGAAATTTTATTATTTAATGTATATCTTTTTGGATATTTTAATTCATTATTATTATATTTTCCCAGTATTGTTAAACAATTAAAATTCTTAAAACATATTTTTTCATCACACTTTTAAACGCACCTTTCTTAATCTATAACAGTTAAGATGTTAAAACATACGTTTTTTCACCATATTTTTAAACATAATTGTATTAATCTAATTTTTTTCAACCACAACAGCATGCTAAACTATACCATAGTTTATTTAGAATGGATATAGCGGCCGTTCCTCTAGTAAGCTGAAAAGGCTAAGCATATGGACTTTGCTTCAACCAACCAGCTCTCATCAAGGATCAATTACTGGGTTGTCTCTAGCTAGAGAATGATGAAACTAGCTCAAAGACCTATGCAAGGTACGGTTGGGATGCATAATCTTAATAACTTAAAACTATTGATTCAAGGGTGAACAAGAAAATAGTTCATATAGCAATATGTTTGGCCATTTACTTAATGGATTCCTCAACAGTCAACAAATACAAACTATATTTGGCCAAAAAAAAATGCAAAAATAAGTTTACAAACAAAGTCCGTAGAAAGCACTGTGTGTAGTAAAGTGAGCGCCCTCACAAAGGTGAGGTACAAAGAGAGTAAAATAGCATCAGACTGAAATGGCCTCTATGTAAATAATTAACTAGTTAAGGACATTTAGCCAAGACTGCCTACTTTTGAGCCAAAGCTATCTATGGTGAACTAGTTGAGGTTGTCGTAGTAGTCTTGGAAGCATCATGGTTGGATACGTTCACATAGACCAACTAGATTGCTTTAAGTTCTTGGTGTAACACCGACTTCATAAGCTTAAGCTTTTAGGTCTAGGTGTGGCCTAAGCAGTATGTTATGGCCTTTCACTTGATGGAGTCCAGTTGAAAGCATGCGAAACACATAGCATATTGCCTCTTGTATGGATATTCTATACATTTACATTGCATTCTATACAAGCTCTTAAAGCAGCATTGTTAAAACTGAAACAAGCATGAAATATAATATAAGCAACGTATTCTGAAATTGCTCTATAATTTCTCTCTTATGATTATAGTTAAGGAAAAGAAAAAAAAACAATAGCAAGCTTTCTTTAAGGAGGAATTTTGGCTTTCAATGTCAAATATGTACTCACCATGAAGTTTTCATTGTTAAACAGTTTCTGTACCATATGCATCATGATTCTCTCTATTTCCTTCGCCCAGTTTAGACTTTTAAAACAGGATGTTTTAGGGTAACACTTTCCTCGACTGCTGCTTCATAGCATGTATGTTAAGGTATGTGTAAAAGGACATGCCACCAATGGCTATAAATGCACCAAAAATACTAGTTGCACCAGGATTTGTACCGAAAAGGTAATAGTTTCCGAGAAGTACAACACAAGTTTTGAATTGTCCAAGAACAACAGAGGAGATGGCAGATGTAGCCCTGAAAATAAGACAATGTGAACCAAACAACAAATGAAGTTACAGGAAAGAAAATTGCTTAAAATCTGAGTATAACTACTAGGGGAAAATAATTCTCCATCCATTAACATTTGATCACCTTTTCATTTTAGATGTCCAAAACTGTTACGCATCTTGAAATATCAAAATATATGAACTCCTATCCTCTCCTTCTTAGTTTGCTTTTCTTAACACCTTTTTGTTTTATTTTTTATTTTTATTATTATTTTTTTATAGATTCTCTAATAAGGTTGATTTTGGTACACTTACATGTGAACACACAGAGCCAATCTTGGGGTTGACCATTTACCTAACCAGCGATGACACTGCTTTCTTTTTTTCGTTTTCGTCTTTTTGGAGGGGCACAAGGCAGTTTCATTTCAACAGTCATATATTCACCATGAATGCATAGTGGAAAAGTAAACTAAGCTAGAAGCAACTACATAAAACAAAAGAGATGAATTATGGGAAGCTGTAAACATCAAACAGAGCAAGTTGTAGCATGGATCAAATGGTTAACAAAACCTAGATTAATTGGCACTTACCCTAGTGTCAAAGCACTTGACCACTGAAGCAAGAAGCCAAGAAAAGCAGACGTGAGAATCGCCGATGTATTGCTGAAGCTCCAATGGAATGCAAGCACACCAGGAGGATCCAAGAAAAGAGTCATTAAAACCAGAAAAAACAAAGTGATTGGTGTTGTCTTCCACATTAACCTGCTCAACAAACTTTACAACTTCAACCAGTGGAAATTTTGAAAACAACTTCAATCAGTGGAAATTTTGAAATATTTCAGCAATACAATTAACATAAGGGAGAGAAATAATTTTCTTGGATGCGGGCAAAGCAAAAGAGAAAAATAACTAGCAACCCATGTTTGGATATTTAATGGTCTAGGAGAAGTACTGATAAGAAATAATTAGTATTTAGTTATCCCTTTACCCCCAAAAAACTTACATATTTTACTTTCCTTTGTTTGCTGTCAAGTAACAGAACAAGCAAATATTAATTTTCATATTGTATCCCTTCTAAACATCCACCATTGAAAGTTCTTATTTTTTTTCTTTTTATATGTTTTTAATCACATTAGAACAACCAAATAAACCATAAGTGAGCTCAGAGAACATGAAACATACCCTAGTGCAGTCCAGTTCTCTTGTTGTTGCACATTGGACCAAAGGATTTTATTGATTGCACTAGGTATTATCCATGCCAATGCAACACAACCGCCGAAGAGGCTGAATTGTAAATCAGTTACAGTAGCAACAGCAACCCCAATAGATACAACTGTTAGTGCAATCACCTGAAATATTTTGTAGGAAGAATTAAAAAAAAAAAGAAGCAAATTGACAACACTCGAGTGATATTAACCATAGTAGTCAGTCAAATAACTACGGTAAGAATGCTCTTACCGTTTCTACATAAACATAATAAACAGTCTATATAACACTGGCGTGAAAATTCAAGAACTTTTAGACAAAGACCAAATCATCAAGCATCGGCAACTGGCACAAAGGGCAAGAGATGCAAGAGCAAAATATCCTTAATGATATATATTCTTGCGATTCATATTTAATACATTTTATTTGTTCTAAAAAAGAAGCAACAATAGGCATATCTGGGCTACAATAGCATATAAGCTGGGTTTTAAGGTTTAATCTTCTTGAAACTGGATGTCATGAATCATGAGACTGTTACTCTTTTGATTATTAATAAAAAATCCAGAAGCAAATTTCTTTTCTCCCCATCTGACTAGACCCAGATTTTGACAGCTGAGTAGCAGACCAAGTATAGCATCACCTTGTCAGAACCCAAATTCACAGATTTTGGACAATGCTAAAATAATGGATGCACAATGTCAATAGATAAATAAGAAAATTAACTCAGCCAGCTCAAGTAAGCCTTGATTCTAACATAGTTGGGATTGGCTACACCAATCCATTTTCTGCATTCTGCTTGGTCAGGCCGATATCCACTTAAAAACTAAAATGAAATAAAATTATCAATCACAATGTAAGCAAGTTTGAACGTGCTATCTTTAGAAAAATTTAAAGTCTAGGTGCTATTGAGATTAGGATTGAGTGAGTAAAGGCATAGAAAAGGTCACCTTCACTTTGCAAACCAACCAAAGGAATTTTTAAAAAGTGTTAATGTCATATTTAGCTCCTACATTATAAGAAATTGTCTAGTGTTGTACATGTACTTCTAAATTGTGCAATATGGTGTCCATACTATCAGCCCGTGTATCAATGTAGCCCACTCCCCTAACACCGTTAACTGAGATGTGGAATAGAACAATAATATAATGACACGTGGTATAGCTGTGCCAAATCAGCAACTAACCCAAAATGACAACATGGCATCCACATGGCACTTGAGAGCCAGATACTGGATGCCACATGTTACCTTATTATTTGCTAGCCATTAACCCAAACTAAAAAACCCAAAAAAAAAATGAAGAAAAAACCGAACCCAACACTAATCTGCCTAAACCCAACAATAACCCAAAAATTCTAAAATCAAAACCAAACTCAATCTTGTTTTATTGTTCGAAATTGTGGAAATGAAACAGGAAAAACAAAGGAGAATAGATGTCTATCTGCCCGAACCACCATTATCAGCCTTCCATAGCCGACTACTACCACCACCCAACAAACCCCCACTCTACCACAACCTAGTACGGCCCTCAATTCCTTAAAAAAAAAATAATAATAATAAAACACCATTAGCACCATCAAACCAAGCCATAGGAAAAGCCACAACACAAAAAAAAAAAAGAATAAAAATGAAAAGGAAACTTCAGAGAAATCTAAAGTAATCTACCCACGAAAAGGTTCATGGTTTTCACTTCTCCACATTGAAACTTGAATTTTCAAAGGTTCTCACAAAAAATTCATTAATCTAACTGTTGATGCTGAGCTGTTTGCGAGGGTAAAAACCTAAAAACACAAGCGAAAGAAAGAGGTCAATGACAAAGATTGGAAGCTTTTCTAGTGTTTGTACTCTGATGCTCAAGTCAGTTATTAGTCAAAGAGTGGGAAGGAGGAAAAGGCAAAAAGTAGGCATGGAAATTAGAGTTCCAGTTAGTTTTGAGGTAGGGAGACACTGGGGTTAGGTGGCCCAAGCTCCATGTAGCGAGGCTAGGGCTGACATCGTATGCCTGAGTTGAGCTGGTAGTAAACAAGCCAATTGGAGGATGACAAATCAACATTCTCATGTGCCAGCAGGTGGCCGAGCTAATGTGGAGCCAAGGAATTCATGTCAGCCTGCCACGTCAACTTGGCCAAATTGACCAAATTCCCCCATTTGATAGGTGACTTGTACTCTGAGGTGAAAGGTCCATTTAGCCCTTTGGACCTTAAAATGCCCTTAACATTTTGTTCCGCCATCAAGTAGTTTGAGATATCAAACTAGTGAGAATAGGGTTAGTAGATTTGTTGTTCCTAAAGCTGAGCTACGAGTTAAGTGTGGATTTCTTTCAGAGCTTTCATGGTGTCGTGTTGATGAGGTGTTTTTGTGACTATCTGAGCTTAATCCGCTAAGCTAATCCTAGGGTTGTGCCAACGTAGATGGGATGGTGTTAGTGTTTAGGTCTGAGATGATGTAGCCAACGTGGTCCTCGCTTGGTATGACCAACATTGCGCTTGTGTATACACAATGTGGCCAACACGATATTATATATGTGGCTTACGTGACATTTGTGGACTTTGTATAGCAGAACACACATGTCTAATGTGATATCACGTGTATGGTCAATGTGATACTTCTGGATTTTGTATAGTGGGTACTGCAGAGCAAAACCAGCATGACTTTTGTTATAGATTCATCTGAATTTGCAATTATTAAGGAGAGAGAAATTTTGGCAATTCTTTGAATTAGGGTTGAAAAGTTGATCTTAATCTCTGTATGGTGACGTGGCTTAATCTGGGGCGCCCATCTGATCTGGGACTTGGCTATATCCGACCTTCCTACCCAAACTTCTTTGCTTTCTAATCGACCAATTTCTACTGATCTCAAACTTTTTAGCCTTATTTCATTTGACCTTTTTTTCAAACTACTTCAGTACATCTCTCTTTTCTCACTATGTCATCTGATTCTAGTTTGTCTAACTTTAAGGTAGAAATGAAAGGAGGTCAACTCGGCCAAGATAGTATTCCTTCGGATTACGAGGTCCTCTTTGTTATCGTAAGAAGATACTATCGTCGAGCTACATACTGGTTAAACCCAATGTCTATAGAGGCCTAGAAACAAATAGAAGATAATGCCCCAGCTAGGGGAAAAAGTTTATCATAGGATGGACAAGCTTCTAGTGACAATAGATTCTGACCTTCAAAACCTTCCAGTCCCAATAGTCATGGTCAGTTCAATTCCTCCATCTAACCTTTCTTTTTCTTCCTCAACTCCCACACCAAACAATCCTAACCAGCCCTCCACCTAGCCTTCCAATAGTCTGAGCTCAGAGTCTAGCTCTGGCTCATTGTCTGAGTCCTAAGAGTTTTTTTATTCCGCATCATCTTCGTCCTCTTTCAATGTTGTGAAGGTTCTAGTGTCTTCTCGGGCTTAGGGGCTCGCTCAATTTTCAGAAGCCAAGAAAACTTGTGAGAAGGTTTCTAAGGCTAAGCAGGATTAGAGTTTTGAGCAGGCCAAAGGGTCCAGCTAGGCCCAGGAGGAAAATGAAGGTGAGGAGGGAACAGGTGGTTTCGACGACGATTATAATTCCTTTATTCTTTTCTACACCCCAGCCTCTTAGGCATAGTCTATAAAGACGTGATGAGGAGTTTAAGGGCCGAGCTAACCCTAAAAATTGCCCTCATCTGTGCTTCATTCATCACATCTCTGCAGAAAGATTCAAATTTGATTTTCCAAAGGGTTACAATGTAGTGATGTTGACCTCATAAGACAGAATCACTAGCCCATTAGAGATCGACAAGATATGAATGTATTAGGATTTAATTGTGGCCGGCCTCACATTTACTTTACATTTTTTTTATTGTTGAACTTCTTTTAGCTTACAATTTAACCATAAACCAGCTCGCTTCAAATTTTTTTAGGAACATAATAGGTTTCATTAATCTTTGTAGAGAATTAGGTCTTCTTCCCATTGTCTCCCTTTCTAAGGAATTTATTGTTGTCAAAAAGCATCTTCATGATTGAAGCTGGTACTATGTAACAGCTCGACTTTCTAAAAGGATTTTTGTCAACTGCCTAAGCTCAATAAAAACGTGGAAAGTCTTTTTCCTTTGTGTTGAAAAGGTCAAAGAGGCTTAGGAGATTAATTATGGTAAGAGCTTATTTGAAGAGGCTAAGACTAGCCCCTTGCCTATGGACGAGCTCAATGCACTAGATACAAAAATGACTTTCTCAAGAGGGAGAAGTTAGTAATAGATGCATATGAGCTGACCTCCCTTAATGTTATCAAGGAGGTTAAATATTGGGTAACCTTTTTGCTAACTTTTTATAACTAATTTTGTTTTTCATTGAATATTTTGTAACTCTCAGTTCTGTTTCTGTTTCGAATGTCAAATATGACTGATTGAAAAGTTGGAGGTTTTGACATGTCCCTGTTCGTGCAATCTCCTCGAAGGAGGGGCAGTGGCAAAACTCCTCCCCAGTTCGGTGGTCCCTTTCGAAGGATCAAGATCATCGACCCACCACCTCTTCAGTAGGGCCAAGTTGGTGGTAAGAGCTCAACTGCAATGCAGAAGTTTAAACAAAAGATCATGACTTAGAAGCCACAAAAAGAGGTTGAGGATGGAGTCCTCATCCGTTGAACCATTTGCCGAGCTCCACCCCTTCTTAGAGAAAGTGTCTATCACAATGTGTAGAAATCTAATTCTCCTACATTAGTGCAGCTTGATTTTCTAATTTATTTTGGGAATATTTCTATTTACTCGTCTGATTTAGTCAATTATTTTGATTGTCAAGTTTTTAGGGATTTTGTTTCTATTTTAGAATAGAATAATTCTCTTTCCTTTCATTATTTTTTGCTTTCCATTTTATGTAAGTTGTTTCCTAGTAAGGAACTTCACTATTCCTATTTATTTAGATATACTCCTTCATTGTAGATAGAATAAGAAGAAATAAGAACAATCATTCTTTAAGTTTCTTACATGGTATTAGGGTAAGTCAGCCTAAACCATTAGATTGTAGCCACACCAATTTCCGTTATGGCTAGCAAAAGTGAGAACTCTTCTTCTGTAAAGGTATGGCATAAGGTAAGTCACAAAGAGGTGATGCTCCAACAAACCCTTCAAAAGAAGTCCAAAGCCTTTGGAACTAGTTTACTAGTACAAAAAGGTAATT